CTCAGCGCCGCGCACACTCGGTTCAAAAGATTGCAAGCAATTCGCGGATTGAGAACAGGTCGTTTTCTAAATGTGGTTCCCGCCTTAGCGCCGCGCACATTCGTGTTCAAACTTAGCAAGGGCTTCACGGATTGAGGACGATTCGTTTTCAAAGTGTGGCTCCCGCCTCAGCGCCGCGCACATTCGTCACAGATGATTACAAAAGTGCCGCTGATTCCCATGGTTAACATTCCAGAACAGATGCTTCTGGAACAATTTAGGACTGTCAGGGCGCACCAGTTAGGTTGACTCGCGGCGTCAGCATCCAAGGAATGGTGGTTTGGCACGATTCAGGATCGTCAAGGCGCAACAGTCAGGCTGACCCGTGGCGTTGAAGTCCTGAGAGTGGTGTTCTGGCACGCGTCAAGATCTTCAGAAGGTTGTCCCCCAACTGCGCATATCGCTCAGTGGAACTGAGGGAGCTTGGACGGAGGGTGTATTACAACATCGTTGATGTCTCTTGGGTTTACACTGCTCCTCCTCCTCCTCCTCCTCCTCCTCCTCCTCTCTCCCTCTCTCTCCTCCTCGGTCACACTTCCTCCTCCCCCCCCCCCCTCCCTCCTGTTCGGCAGAGCCCCCCACCGCCCCCCCCTGGGCTGGCAGAGCAGCAGGCGGGGGCGGGGCCCGCTGGCCTCGCCGTCCGCTTCGTCCGCCCAGCTCTGCACGCGCGGCACCTGCCGGGCGTTTTGAACGCGGGGATGCCGTGTGGGCATCGCTCGACCCAGACTTCCTGGCGTCTTGGAAAACATCGAGACGGAGGTTTGTCATCGTGTTCGGCCTCTCGGGGCCCTTACCGGGCCTCGGGGCCGTCAGGCAACGACTCGGGATGAAAAACAGATCCTGGGGAAGTGGTCGAGAGGTCAGGAACCCGCGGTGGGAAGATGATCTTGGAGTCTGGCGTTGGTGGTAATACTTCGGTCACCTAGGACACCTAAATATTACAACCATCACCGAGATCGGTGGAGGCACGCCGCCGATATTGGTGCTGGTGCTAACCTCTGAGCCTGCGATACTTGGACCCCCCCCCCTCCCCATCCAACCCACTCTGGAACCCTGCGGGCAGAGCACGACGACAAGCTTCTGTGCCGCGGCGGGCGTGCTGCAGCAACACAACCTGGGGCGGAAACAAGGGGGGTTACAGCCGGACTCCTGCTGCTATGCGGACAGGTAGCCCTTCTCGCTCATTTCCGCTGCCGTCGGCGGGCATGTTGGGACTACCTGGGTGATATCAGGAAGTTTAGGGCTTGAGGGGTACGGGGGGGGTGGACGTGCTGCTGCCTGTGGTGGAAGAGCGACTCTTCTCCACCACTTTTCACCCCTGCGCTTGCGAGGAACCAGACGGGCGCGAGCTCGCCACCACTGACGCTCCAGGTGCGTCCGTTCGCCATGTGGCCTGCCTAGGAGAACAAAACACTACACTATCGGACCGATTAAAACAGAAGAACATCCCTCAAGAACATGAAACCCACCGCCCGCCAACACGAGGGGCAGTCGAGGGTACCCCTCCCCCGGGATGCGCAAATAATCTCCAATAAGCACGAAGAGCATTCGGGCACCCTCCCCGAACCGACCTCGATCTTAGACCTCAGTCCGACTGTAGGAGGAGGTGAAGGAGGGGGAGGGGAAGGAGGAGATGGAGGAGGAGGAGGAGGAGGAGGAAGAGGGAGGGAGCGGAGGGGAGGAGGGAGGGGTGAGGAAGGGGAGGGGGAGGGGGGGGGGGGAGGGGGAGGGGGAGGGTGAGGGGGGGGGGGGAGGGGGAGGGGGTAGAGGGGGAGGGGATGGGTGAGTGGGGAGGAGGAGGAGGAGGAGGAGGAGGAGGAGGAGGGAGAGGAGGAGGAGGAGGAGGAGTGCGGAGGAGGAGGAGGAGGAGGAGAGGAGGAGGAGGAGGAGGAGGAGGAGGAGGAGGAGGCAGGAGGAGGAGGAGGAGGAGGAGGAGGAGTGGTAGGAGGAGAGGGTGATGGGGGGGAGGAGGGAGGAGGGGGAAGGGGGTGGGGCAGGGGGTGGGAGGGGGAGGGGGAGGAGCTCGTCTGTCACGCCGCGCCGCTACCCGCATCGAATCCGCGTGGAGTCCGCATGCGCACCCGCGTCGAGACCGTGCCGAGCCCGCTCTCCGACTCCGCGCCGAGTCCCCGCCGAGCCCGCGTCGGATGCCAGAGAAGACGGCAGGTCAGAGGAGAGACGCCGTCCCCCCGAAGGTGCAGCTGGAGGCCTCCCAGATGAGGCCTCCTCCTCCTCCTCCTCCTCCTCCTTCCTCCTCCCTCCCCTCCCTCCCTCCCCTCCTTCCTTCCCTCCCTCCCTCCCTCCCTCCCTCCCTCTCCGAGCAGATGGGGCCAGAGGCTCGCGCTGCTTCGCCGATGCATCCACGATGCATCGACGATGCATCGGCGACGCCGACGTGGAAAAAGTCGGGCTCCACATCGAGCCGCATCGCCGATGCATCGGCAATGCGGCGCGACCAACCGACCCCATCTGCGCCAACCCCACCTTGGAGGCCTGGAGCAACGGAAACGATGGGGAGGAGCACGACGGGCTCTCGTGGCGGGACGGTTGCGCTTGTACAGCACAGCTCAGGGTGAACGAAGAGGGAGGCATAGTAAAGGAGGAGGGTTGGCGAATCAGCTGGAGTCTCGAACACCGGCTTGACGCAGGAGTGACCCTGGGCAAGAGTGACCTTTGGTGCGCGACTTCAGGGGGCCGCCAGGGAGCCAAACTCCAGGCCGCCAGGGAGCCAAAATCCAAGAAGGCCGCGGGGCTGCTCAGAAGCCCTCGCACATTCCGGGAAGTGTTCTAAGAATTCCCTGACGACACAGCAAACTCCTCAAAGGCAGGAGGGCTTGTGAGAAAACCCGCCGCCTTCTGAGAAGGCCTGAAACCTCTCACTTCCCCCCCCCCCCAGGCGCGCCGCCGATGTGAGCTCGGGGAAGGTTTGCAATTTCCGGCCTCCTGGGGCCATTTTCGGGACCCGGGACCGTCAACATAGGATCCAGGGTTAGGTCGGGCACGTCCCCCTACATGCGGATTTTGGACGGAAAAAACAAAACAACAACATACTCAAGCATGCGCCCCAAAACACTCCAACAATAATCGAACAATAGTCGCCATGTGATTTCTTCAGTAGTTTTGAATCCCCCTCCTGTGAAGGACATGCCCGACTCAAATCCAGGGTAAACAACTGCATCAAATGGACCCTGGGAACTTCTGAGCCTCCCTCCTGTAGTGGGACATGGCCGACTTCAATCCAGGGGGGAAAACTGCACCACGTGGAGGAGGAGGAGGAGGAGGAGGAGGAGGAGGAGGAGGAGGAGGAGGAGGAGGAGGAGGAGGGGTCTGGGCACCGGTGCCCTGACCGATCTCCTCGGGGGTGCCCAACCACACCGAATGTGCCTTCGCAGAGGCCCCGCCGCCCTCGGAGGAGGCCTGCCCCCTCTCGCTTCCCCGCTGGGGCTCGCCGCCGACCAGAGGCCCTCTCTCACCTGCCCCCCTGGGCTCGGCGCCGCGAACACGGAACAGCACAGTCGGGGACGGACAGACCCCCCTTTCGCAAAACGAGGCTTCGCGAAAACGACCCGGGGCGCAGACCTGGCGGGCGCAGGCCTGGAAAATGGCGGCCACGGCGCCCTCTCGAGAACCGAACACGGACAATTCACGAATCGACGTGTCACTGTTGGGGGTCTCTGTCCACCCCCGACACAGGGAGGACGAGTGGGCACCAGACCCGCTCCCCCCTCCGGACCGATCTCCTGGGTGCCCAACCAGTGCCTCCGCAGCGGCCCCGCCGCCGTCTGCGGGTCCTGCCCCCTCTCGCTTCCCACCAGCGGCGGCGAGCGGGGGGGGGGGGAAGCGAGAGGGAGAAGGCCTTCTCCTCAGAAGGCGGCGGGACTCATCGGAGGCCCTCGCGCCTGCCGAGAAGCTCTTCTGTGTCTTCGGGGAGGGCTCAGAGCACTTCTCAGAGGGACCCGGGGGCTTCCGAGACTTCTGAGGAGGCCCGCCCCTTCTGAGTCCCCCTCTCCCCCTCGTTCGCCGCCGACCCAAGGCGCGCCGCCGATTTTCAGCCAGTCCTTCGAGCGCCCCTGGTAGTTACAGTCGAAGCACGGCCAGGAGAGAGCGTACATCAGAAGACGAGCCCCTTCGCCCAGGGGCCAGGGCCCCGTGGAGATACCCAACACGGAGGCAACACCAGGATGGAGAGCCCAAGCATGGAGGACACGGGGGCTCCTTTCCAGAGCCTGGGATGCTCTCATCTTAGCCATCGTGCCGGCTGTGCTCGTCGTCGCCCTGGAGATGCCCCCAAAACGATGGCAAAACCGAGGCAGGAAGGACACAAAGGTTCTCGGGTTGGGGGGTGGTGCAATAGATTTGGTGCAATAGATTTGTGGGGTTGCAATGCATGTGGGGCGTGCCATACATGTCGGGGCGCAGATGGATCGCTGTATTTTCGCGTGCACTGCGTGACTTGCAATACAATGCAATCCAATTCTCCGGCGCAATACATTTGCAACGCAATTGCCCCAAATCCATTGCACCACCCCCTTTCAGCTGGACCTTCTTTTGGGTCGACCACAGGCTCCCTTCCAGAGCCTTGGATGTTCTCAGCCCTCGCGCCAGCTGTCCTCGTCTCCACTCGGCTCGCGCAGGAGTGGCCCCCCAAACCCTGGCCTTAGGTCGGGCCTGTCCCCCTGGACGGAAAATGCGCAACAGGTGTACAACAAGTGCCCCAAGCTACTAAAAAAACATCCCCAGGCTATTTTGTACTACTTTTGAGTAGTCCTCCTGTAGAGGGCCAGGCCCGACTTCATCCTGGCCGACAAAGCGGTAGGGCGCCACGATAGGGGAGCAGCGAGCTGGTCTGCCTTGCGTCGCGGATGCTGCGCTCTCTACCCAGACTCCCCCGACTCGGTGATTACCACAGGCGATCGAGAACCACAAGGGCTAATGACAACGCCGACGATGACTGATGCACTATTCCCGTGCGCGACCTGTCGCCAGTCACCAGCAGACAGGCGACGGGGCAAAGCCCTACGGCGAGCCGGAAGGCTCCAAGCCCAGCACGGTGGGAAACCACAGTCGGAACTCGTCCAGGCTTAGGGAATCGCGCCCGGTCGCGCTGAACTGGACGATCGACGGCCGCAAGTGGTGGCCCTCGGGCATGAAAGGCACCGCCATGACCTGCACGATGTCCTGAGTGAGCTGCAACACCTCGCTATACTCGAGAAAACCACTCTGGTCGGCGTCGTACCTCCGGAAATAGCACCTGATGAGCGTGTCCTGGGCAGCCGCAAGCTCGCAGAACCCCCTGCGCCGCTCCGCACAACGTCCCTGTGGAGCTCCGCGGGCCCGAGTTCCTCATCCTCCTGCTCCAGGTCCTCCCCGTTCTCCTCACCCGCCTCCTGTTCTTCCCCCTCCTGCTCCCCCTTTTGCACACGCCGAAAGATCGAACGTCCGCACGGTGCCGCTTTAAGCACCTGGGCCCACCATGGGGTGGTGAGCCATCGACAGTCGGAAGAGCCCCAGCTCGGCCAACCTCAACAAAGCAGACCCATGGGCCGACTGCTGCAGCCACACGAGCTCCCCAGGCACCTCCTCCTCCTCCTCCTCCTCCTCCTCCTCCTCCTCCTCCGCCGGCACACAGGGGTTCTCACTGGGCTGACACAAGAGCTCGAGGCCACCGAAAGCCGCGCCCCGCGCCCCGCGACGTGCGACGCGCGACCGCCTTCGCGCCCTCGCGCCCTCGCGCCGCCCCCATTGGGGCAGGGCAGCACTTCATTCCAACCGCGACGCGCGAAGCGCGATCCTCTGAGGAACGGCAGGCTGCAGTCGAATCGCGTCGGCGCTGGGCCCAGCGCCTCTGGCGCGCGGCAGGCGCCAGGAGCGGCGCCAGGGGCGCCACCAGCGGGACCCCGCGCGGACCCGAGAGCCCCGCGCGGAACTCGGACAGCTCATGCTCAGGCATGTGTCGTTTTGCTGCTTCGGGCTAACCTAATGGTCGGACAAAAAGCAATCAGAAACATGAAGTAGGAGGGCGTGAAAGTAGATTGGGTCTCCGACCGCCCCCTGAAGAGGAGGGAACAGGTGAAGCCACTCGATCACTGAAGTAGGAAGGCGCCCAAAGCAGATCGGAACCTGGGAATCCAAACATACCTGCTTTCAACGAACGATGGGCATGCAGGTTCCCCAATCAGTGCTTGCATTGAAGGGGTCCTAGCGGAAATTGGAAAACAATTTGGCGAAAATATCCCGCCGATTCTGGTGGGAGGCTGGGTCCCCCGTTCCCGGTTCGGGGTTGCCGGGTTCCTTGTTATTGGTTCCAGGCCGAATTCGGTGCGTTTCGGGTTCCCAGGTCCCCGGTCGGTCTCCTCATCGATCATACCATCCACTGGTTTTAAGTCAGGCGTGTCCCCCTACGAAGGGATTTCGGACGAAAAATAAAACATACCCCAGACATATCCAACAATGACCAAACCATGCCCAAAACGTGGCCCCCTGCAGGGCACTCCCAGCCCTCCCCGACTGCCTGAAACTCTGGGCCTCGTGCAGAGGGGCGGGCAGGACCTCACGCTGCTTGGGGCTGCTCTCTGGTGTGCGCTTTGCTCTGCTGTTTCAGGCTGCTCGTCGCGCCGCCGCGCGTGGCCCCCCTGGGCCCGAGGAGGAGGGGGAGGAGGAGGAAGAGGAGGAGGAGGAGGAGGAGGGAGGAGGAGGAGGAGGAGGGAGGAGGAGGGAGGAGGAGGGAGGAGGAGGGAGGAGGAGGGAGGAGGAGGGAGGAGCCGAGGCTGCGGCTGCCCACCTGGCCGGCGGGGGCGCCCGGGCCTCTGCGCGTGGCCGATATCTGCGCCGTTCCCCAGGCCGCATCGAACGGCGAGGGTCCCGGGGCCGCCCCCTGCTCCGAGCAGGGCCGAATCGAGCTGGGGGCCGCCCGTGTCCAGCACGGCCGGCGACGCCATCAGCGCCGTCGTGTAGCCCGGCGCGATGCCCCGCCGCGGGCGCGCCGTCTGGGGCTCCTCCGCCTCTGGAGGCTTGGAAGAGGAGGAGGAGGAGGAGGAGGAGGAGGAGGAGGAGGAGGAGGGAGGAGGAGGAGGAGGAGGAGGAGGAGGAGGAGGAGGAGGCAGGAGGAGGAAGAGGGAGAAATGGGCACCAACACCAGCACGGGGGGGGGCCTCCACCAGGGAAAGATGATCCGAGATTATGCTGTTGGTGGCAATCTTTCGGCCACCTGGTAAGACGAGGGCCACGACGATGATAGATTCTCGGGTGAGGATTGATCGAGAATCTCTGAGGTCCAGCCCAGCGGCTCTGGAGGACGTCTCCGGCGCCGCGGCCTTCTCAGAGCTTTCCAGAACGCTCAGAGCTCAGAGCGTTCCAGAACGCTCTGGGACGGATCTCTCCCCGTCCTAGCCTTAGGTCGGGCCTGTCCCCCTACAGGGGAATTTCGGTGGGATATTCCTCCTGTATACGAGGGACAGGCCCGACTTCATCCTAGCCCCGTCCGACCTGGGAAGCCCTACATCGGGATCCTCTGCCCTGGGCGGAGGCACATCGTCCAAGACCCCGACGCCATGATTTGTGCCTGACGCCGACCCCCAAACGTCTCGACCCGTTCCCTGCAGAACCGGCTCTTGACAGCCCCGAGGCCCAGGAAAAGGCCCCCTGGAAGCCGAACGCACAGAACAACCGTCCGTCACTCCCCAGTCTCAGCGCTTGCACTGAAGGGGTCCTAGCGGATATTGAAAGATTTAATGAACATTTCCTGCCGATTTTGGTGGTCGGCTGGATTCCCGGGTTCCCAGTTCTGGGTTCCGGGGTTCCTGGTCATTGATTCCAGGCCGATTTGGGTGGGTTCCGGGTTCCCGGGATCCCTGTCAATCTCCTCATCGATCTCTTTACCGATCCCACGATTCATCGAACCACCCACTGATTTGAGATTTTCCCTGGCGTGATTATTTTTTCAAGAACCGAAACGGTCTGGGATTGGTTTGAGCATGGACCGACCATCCCGGCATTCCTATAGGCCTACCACGACATGACATTGAACCTCAGAATGGTCTCAGAACAAATGTTTTTGGAACATCAGCCCGATGTGATGAAACAAGACAGTCGCAGCCAGAAATGTTATACGAACATGCTGTGGAAACCACACACGGTTTTTAGAATATTGGTTGGTAGGCCCAAGACGCTTCGCCACTGACCTGACAGGGTCATCATGAAAATGACGAGACCCAATCTGAAATTTGACGCGACGTCCCGCTGCAAACATCCCACGAAAACGGGACCGTCAAAAACCAGGACGCGCTCGTGAAAAAACGTCGGCAAAACCGAGCTCAAGCCTACTCGAGTCTAACGATTCCCCGACTTTTCCCTGGTGTGATCATTTCTTTCATGACCCGAAGCGGTCTCGGCCTAGTGAGCCCTGGTTTAGTGATGTGTGCTCGGGGATGCCCCCCCCGCCCCGTTCCACTAACCGGAACTGCCGTCACCCGAAAAACACCAGCTGCGGCAGACCTGGGTTAGTGACTCTGGGTGCTCTGGGGCCCTACTACTAACCGTTTCCCCATACCTGGGGTCCTGGCCATACCCGACATTCGTGCGCCGAAGGTACGTCGAACGTCCGTCGATGCGAGTCGAGCCCGAGTCGAGCCTGAGTCGAACTGGAGTCGAGCTCGAGTCGAACTCGAGTCGAGCCTGCGGCGAACTCGAGTCGACCAGGTCCGCGAGGTGGTCCCCGGGAAGGTCCCCGGACCAGAAGCGCTCTGGGACCGGTGTTGGTGTCAACCTCCAGGCCTCCGACGCCTGCGCTGGCAGCGGATGCGCCGCCGGCTCCGCCGGCCGCGGCGGCGGGCCCGCCCCCCGCGCGGCCCCGGGGGCCTCGGGCGACCCCCCAGACCGGGGCGTCTCCTTCTCCTTCCCCCTCCTCCTCCTACTCCTCCTCGTCTCCTTCCTCCTCCTCCTCCTCCTCCTCCAGACCGGGGCGATTGAGATGGGTAACTACTCTGGGTTTCTTAATAAGCGCGGGGGGGTACCCCTCCGACGGGGGTCAACCTCGCCTCTTCGTCGCGCCGCGACGGGGGTCGGAGCGCCTTCGGCGCGCGGTGGCTGCCCGCGACGGGGGTCGGTGCGGGGCTGTCGGCCCTCGGCGGAGGTGGCGCCTCCCCGACGCTTGGTAAGAAACTCGGGGTAGGGGGAGGGTGGGTACACGGTCAAGTGGCATAAGTGAGGACACGCGGTGACAAAGACATTGGAGGTACTCGTTGGCGTTGTCGAACGGGGTTGGCGAGGGAAAATCGAAAGTGGCCAACGAAACGGGTAGGAAAAGGGTGGGTACACGGTCAAGTGGCATAATGAGGATACGCGGTGAGGATGCAAGGACATTGGTGGGACACGTTGGCGTTGTCGAGCGGGGTTGGCCAGCGAAAGTCGCCAAGGATTTTAAAGACGGGCGAAGGGGCAAGGATGCAAGGGTAGTCTTGGAAATTGTTCAGCCTTACTATGCGACTTGACTGCACAACGAGTTCGCGTCGAGACATCTTCGGCACTGGTTTCTGTGGAAATCAGAAGGTGCCAATACCGCTATTCCCCAGACCTCTCCCTGGTTGCTTGCTAACCAGAATTTCGAGGCGAATCCAGCGGTGGTGACGAGGCCCAATAAGGAGAAAACGATGCGAGGGTAGCGGTATGGGCACCCTGTCCTCTTCGGAGGCACTGATTTCTGGAACCACATTGATCGTTCAACCCTTGGGAGCCTTGGGGGCCATCTTGGGGCCATTTTGGAGGAGATCGATCACAGGACGGGCCGTACTAAATCAGGGCCCCCCACCAAGGAGGCCAGAATGTGGCCGAAACCTGAGTGGCATCAGTGGTTTTGGCCTTCTGACCGACTCTCTAAGCGCGTTTGATCGTTCAACCTTGAAAGATCGGCGGCTTTTCGATCGCCAGATCATCGTTCCTCCCAGCGCCCCTCGCCGCGCCCCGCGCCCTTCCTCCTCCTCGCGAGGAGGAGAAGGAGGAGGAGGAGGAGGAGGAGGAGGAGGAGGACCGCCTCCTACTCCTCATCCTCCTTTTCCTTGTCTCCTTCCTCCTCGTCCCATCGGAACGATCGAACTGGGTACGGGAAGAATGGGTACAAAGACTAACAGCATGTCCTGTTCATTTGAGCAAGACTCACTGTCGGTGTCGCCGTGGACGTTCCATTTGAGACACAATGCCGCCTGCCCAACGGCGGGCACTGCCAATTTGGGACAACCAGTTGCTGTTGGAAGTCGTCGCGTGCCCATGTTTTCCACACCCATGCTGGGCGTCCAAACCAGAGACACCCATCACACCAGAGAAAAATCCCAATCAATGGATGGCTTCGTGGGGTCGATAAAAAAAACGATACTGAGATAGACCGGAAACCCCGGGGGCCCGGGAACCCGGAACCCACCGAAATCGGCCTGGAACCAATAACCAAGAATCCGGGAATCCGGAACCGGGAACCCGGGAACCCAGCTGGCCACCAACATCGGCGGGAAACTTTCGCCAAATCATTCAATATCCGCTAAGTCCCCTTCAGAGCAAGCACTGATTAGGGAAACATGGCACTCACCCCTCCCCTGGTGAAAATGAAGCCACGAGCGGGACAAAATCGGATCGGGGTAACTCGGGACTCCATGAGGTCTGGCAGTTCTGAGGGACGCGTTGGGGGCTGCGGCCGTTCCAGAGCGCTCCCGATCCCCCCTATACGCTATCCTTCATCCCCGCCCTCCCCACTACTCTCAGGTCGGGCATGTCTCCCTACAGGCGGATTTTCGACGAAAAATAAAAACTATCCCAAAAGTGTTCCAAACATATCAGAAATAATCGAAAATCGTCCCCAGACTAGTTTTTAACTATGTTTGAGTCTTCCTCCTGTAGGGATAGGCCCGACTTGACACAACTCCCCAAGTGGGGGGGAGGGCTTGAAGGGGGAGGGGGAAAATGAGGGAGAGCAAGTGTCTGCACCACTCCTTCATTCCCCCCCTCATTTCCCTCATCTTCGAGAGAGAGAATGGGAAACTTGTGCAGTGCTGTGGCGAGTCTTGTCGATGTTGTCGCGACGCCGCTGGCGTAAAGATGTGCATGTGGGTCGCATCTCAAGGGCCAGCAAAGAGCGCGGCTGTCCGAGGTGGCCTCCGTCTTTTCCGAGGTCCCCCAAATCCCCCAGAAGCCGCTCTGAACGCCAAGCGCCAGATTCATGCTGCCTGCATGCGGAACACCGCGTCAAGACGCTCACCCCATCGGAACCGTAAACCCATATTTTGAGGGATGAAAAACGACCCTACCCTGGGTTACAAATGCGTGGTCTGTAAACCTCCTGGGAACCCTCAAAGCCTAGAACCGCCAGGACGCGGCACATCACGCAGGGTTTACCCCGTCAGCCCACAGGAGTTTCAGCGCACAGCGCCTCGTAAACCAGGGTAGGGGCGTTTTTTCTGCCCTTGAATATTTTTTCCCGCCCAACCCTTCGAGCCACATTTCTATTGCTCGCGATAGCGCCCGTGAGCAGCCCCGCCGCCCTCCCATCTGGGTCACGTCACGAATTGCGCCAACCACATGCGTAATTGCTCGGCAATAAAACGGAACATACAAGGCAGATGCATGAGGAGACCTGCATCAGCTAGGCGTGCATCAGGGTACGCGAAGGCCTGCGATGGACACCCATGAACAATTACGCGGGTTATTGCAGAACATACGATGTTAACCAGGGTGACAACAAACGGCGTTTTCTTGCAATATGCGTGGCGCCACGTCGGCGGTACAGCGTGGTGCACTGTAGGTGGTGCAGTCCATGCGGTGCCTTCAGTGCGGCGCGACGAAACAAAAAACACAGCAACGCAAACCAATGCAGCACAAAGCAGCACGAAGCAACGCTCGCAAGTACATAGCATAGCAAAGCACTGCAAACCAATGCAACTCAATGCAAACCATGGTAAAATAATGCAATGGAACGCGAAGCAATGCAATGCAAAGTACCGCAACGCATAACAACGCACATCCATATAGCTGAAGGTGCAGCAACGCACATCAATGCAAAGAACTGAAACGTAATACAACACAGTGCAACGCACACAAAACAAAACAGTGCAAAATAATGCAGCGCAGCGCACATGAATGCAAAGGAGTGCGATTGCAATGGGATTGCAACGAACGCGCCAAAGTGCGATTGCAACGCACGGCGGCTCACCAGCGGCGACGGCGGCAGCAGCGGCGGCGGCGGCGACTGGCGGCGACGGGCGGCCATAGGCTAGCTGGACCGCCACTGGAGCTCAGTTACCTAGGGGAATGTGGTGTTGATCCCTTCTCTCCCCTGCCTCGTCCTCCCCCTCTTCCTCCACGTCCTCCTCCTACTCCTCCTATCGTCGTCGTCGTCCGCATCATTGTACCGTAAAGTGCTTCACACGAGGACAACATACTGCTTGCTAGCGAGTATGGACCCCAAACAATGATATGTTGCAACTTATGCGGCGCAATCAGGGTAGAGTAATCAATATGACGCACTCCATGGAGGGGGCACTTCGTGTGGCGCGAAGCAACGCAATGTAAAACAACACAAACTATGCGAGGCAGCGCAACGCAATGCAAAGCAATTCCAAAGCATGCAAAGCGATGCACAGCAACGCAACGAAACGCCGAACGGTGCCAAGAAATGCAAAGCAACACAAAGCGACGCACATCAGTTCAATGTAATGCAATGCAACGCAGTGCGTTTGAGACGCACAGCATTCCCAAACAAGAACCAACAATGCAGCGCAGAGCATTGCGAGGCAACGCAAAGCAGTGCGACGCAATGCACAGCAACGCCAAACCATGCGACTGCGCAAAGCAATGCAGAGCAATACAACACAATGCGAATGCCAGTGCACGGCGTCCCGACAGCGGCGACGGCGGCGACGACGGGCGGCCGCAAGCCCGCGGGACCACCACCGCAGCGCAGCTGCCAGCGGCGACGGCGGCGACGGGCGGCAACGGGTGTCCACGAGCTGGCCGGACCGCAACTGGAGCGCAAGTTACCTGACTGAGAGGTAGGAGGCCCCCAGGTGCAGGCACTGTTTGGGGAATGAACCGGGGACTGGGCTGGCCATCGCTCGGACGTCCATTCCCTGTGTTTTTGTTCGTGCGTGGTTTTTTCGCCAAATGATCAAGGATGCTCCTCGATGGTCCTCGCCGAAGGAAAAATGCACACGTCCGAGCGATGCCAAGTGGGGAGGAGGGGCGGGGGGGGCAGGGCCAGGCCAGAGCGGCCCGCTTGATTACACGCTTCTTGCCGGCGCCCGTCGGCCCGTGCGGGAAGTGGCGGCGGCGTCGTCGTCGTCGTCGTCCTTGCCCCCGCTTCTTCCTCACACTCCTCCTCCAGTCGGCCTCTTCCTCCTTCTTGCGATGCAAAGTGCTTCGCTGCACAACACTGTACCAAGGATGCCGCAGCAACATCTGCGTGTATCACATCGCCTGGGCGCACCACCAGGCCTCGAGGCGTGCGGAATGGCGCAAGCACACTGGGTACACGCCTGCCGCTTCTCAACTCAACCTTACCACAAGCGCAGTGCATCCTTCTTTTCTGAACGATCGGGTTACGATCGTGACTCTCCTGCTGAGTGCCTTGTGCAATCCTCGAAGCTGGAAACACGCTGCTGGAATCACATGTCACACATGCGGAGGCCAGTTGCTGGATACACGTGCGGAGGGCTGGCGTAGTTCGCCGCGCGAGGGCCGAGCCATGGGAAGGTATGAGACCACACGTGTCGCCAGCTCGCGCCCAGGCCAGCCATGTCATGTGTGTACAGCTTCCTGGCGAGAAGCACGCCGACCAAATGCCCCGCTTCGCTGGGTTCAGCCTTCCCGCAGAGGCAAGAGGAGGAGGAATGCAAGGGAGGAGGCAGCGGGCGAGGCGCAGCGGATGGCTGGAGGATGACGAGAGGAGGAGGAGGAGAACGACGACTATATTTTCTGTACCAAATCAAATCGTTCCCAGACTATTTTTGTACTATTTTTGAACATTCCTCCTGTAGAGGGACAGGCCCGACTTAATTCTAGAGCACGAGCCGATAACAACAGCGCAATCAAACAGGACGTTCCAGCCTGGCCCTGCCACCCCTTCGCCCCCTCCCTCCTCTCAGCTCCACTCCTTCTTGTTCTGTCCTTCTGCGAAGCAGCCTGCAGCACGATGAGCAGGACGAGGACGAGGAGGGGAGGGGCAGGACGACTACGACGGGGGAGGGAGGAGAGAGGCGGGAAGAGAAGGAGGAGGGAGGGAAGAGAAGCAAACCCATATTCTATGATCAGCACTATCTTGCGATGTGCTTGGCTATGCATCGAGGGCCCTTGCACATCCATAGCATGGTGCACGCCCTGCCGTAGCAGATCCCTAGACGTACAGGTATATGATGTCCGAGCGGTCGCTGGCTTCTCCTACGATTTCCAGACGGCGCCCGCGCGAATCGTGACGTGACTGCCCCACCCCGGTCATGCCTGTTGCCGCCAGTACTCACAAAAAACACTCTCCCATCCCGTCCCCCACCCCCCCTCCGGGAGGACGAGGCGACCGGCAGGAGGAGGGGGGGGCGACGGGAGGCAGCGGATTCTGCTGACACGATCCTCTTGCTCGAGCGCTCGCCCATCAAGAACTCCTTCCTCCGCCACCGCCCCTCCGCCAATCAATCACCAGAATCGCTCCCCCACCGCCGTGGTGGTAAAATGCGCCGCCAAAAAGTCCATGTCCACTGACACGAAGCGGCGTTCCGGGCGCGCGGGGAGTCGTGGGTATGGATATGGATAGCGAGCAACGATCTGCCATTACACACCCAGCCTGGAGATTCCGAGGAGGGCCTCCGAAGCGGCAAATGTGAACACAAACATGCGACGTCCTGACTTTTTCAGGACGCCTTCCCATGAAGTCCCGACCCGTTCCCCGGGACCGGTTTTCATCCCGAGCCGTTTTCCGGCGAGTGCCCACGAGGGCCGAAACGAGTTCAAAACTTGCCGTCCTGATTTTTGTTACGACGCGGGCATGTCTGGGAACATATTCTGGCGGTGGTTCGGAGGACGCTTCTGGCGACGAGAGGTCCGGGATCTGGAGGCGCGTCGGCCCCTGGCCTCGTCGTCGGAGACCTGCACGTCCATGCCGAGGACCCTGGGCAGCCAGCCTGCGGAGCCAGAAGCCTGCACCCAGAGGGCCGCCTCCCCGCCCTCTTCCAGGAGAGCCAGGTTCAGTTCGGGCCTGTCCTCCTACTGGGGGATCTTGGGCGAAACATTCAAAAGAGTCAAAACAGATTCAAACAAATCCCAAAATACCCTAACAATCGTACCCAGTCTATTTGGGGACTATGTTTGGATATTCTCCCTGTAGAGGGGCAGGCCGGCCCGAAAGCCAGGTGCAAAGGGGGAGAGGAAGGAGGGAGAAAGCCCCACTTCGACGCCCTGCCGTAGCAGGACGGGGGAGGGTCGGGATCGGGATTTGGTCCGTTGACTTCGGGTGTCTACTCGATGACTCGCCTGCCAAAAAATCAAAGCTCGCCTGCTTGAAACTCTGGGAGGGAGGAGGACGAGGAGGAGGACGAGGAGGAGGGGGAGCAGGAGAAAGAGGAAGAGGAGGGAGGATGAGGCGGCCCCTTGCCCCCAGGCCCTTCTGCGAGGCTGGACACGTCGCGTTCGACCCCTATTGCGCGGAGGTTGTAGGGTAGGCGTGAAGGTCACCCGTCTTCTCCTCCTCCTGCACCTTATCCTCCTTCTCCTCCTCCTCCTCCTCCTCCTCCTCCTCCTACGTATGAGTACGCGTGCGTGTGTGGACACTGCAGTCGACCGATCTCTCGGGTTGTGTACAGTAGCAAGAACTACCTCTTTACCGGCCATTTAAATTGCGCCTGTACAGTGCTGACCGCGGAACTCGCACATCTCCGACAACACAAAACACCTCCTTTAAATCCCACCAGCCCTCTGGGCGTAAATGGTTTAACGCATGATGTTCCTTTTCTGCTCAAGCCCGTTCTTCCCCTGCTCGGGAGAGGGGTTTTCCCCCGACTCCCTCACCCTGGCCTGGGAAAGGGGGGGGCGGAGGCGTGTGGGTCACATTGCAACCATAACGGCCACTGTGCAACCACATGGGGCAACCAACATGGGTTTCCCCAAAAGTGCGACTTTGCAACCAAGAAGGCCACTTTACAACGAGGCGAATAAACGCACATACGCGACACATGTTCTTCAATCCCACCAGCCCTCTGGGCGTAGGTGGTTTAGGGGAGTTTCTTCTTCCACCCCTCCTTCTTCCCTTCGGGGAGGGGTTTACCCCTCCCCTAACCCCCTCCCCTGGACCTGGACGGGGCGTTTCGCGAGCGGTCAATGGTACTTGTTCGCCTAAGATGGCTCCAAGAGCGCTTCGGAAAGCCTAACATGACTTCCGAGATTGATCAAGATAGCCAAAGATACCTCAAGATGGCTCCGAAGATGCTCCAAGAGGCTTCAATACCGTCCCAAGACGGTTCCAAGAGGCCAAATAGCTTTCCAAGGAGGCCTCCAAGAGGCAAACATCCCTTGAACACCGAAGGAAAACCAGCGATTAGTGCTTTCTCGCCGTTTCGCGTGCGATGGCCATCCGAGGCCTTAAGATGGCTCCAAAATGGCCCAGGAAAGCCCTAGGAGGGGCCCAAGAGAGCCCCAAGACGGCCCCAAGAGCGCCCAAGAGCGCTCCAAGAGTGGTCCAAGAGGGGAGTTTAGAGGCTCCAGAGAAGCGGTGCTACTTACCCCCCCCTCCTTTTTATTTATCGGTATCCTCCAAGATGGCCCCACGAGCACCCCCCTCATGAGGGCCCCGAGAAGCGCCCAGGAGGCTCCAAGAGACGCCCAACAGGCTTCCATGAAGCTTCCAAGAGACGCCCAAACGGCCCCAAGAGGCCCCCCCCTGAGGCACGGAACAAGCTCCCGGGATCGCCAAAAAGCCCCCAAGACTGCCCAAGAGGCCCCCAAAGTCCCAATTCACCGTTGTCGCCCGCTCGGTTTCACTATGTGTTTCTCTCTCTCCCTTCTTCCGTCAGCTCCCCTACGCATCGTTTGTGGATGGGCTGGTGGGGATTTTTTTTGCTTGGCGGCTCCAAGGAGTCCAAGAAACGGGGCGGGCGCGGCTGGGGCACAGGGCGAGATAATTGGTTACGACGGCGCCTAGGCCGACGCAACAAGTGCACCTGCAAGAGGCAAAATGCCCCCCATTAAGATGCGAGCGACCCGAGAACGGGGACGCAAGCACCAGACTGGAGTAGACGGGGAGAACTCGCACAGTGGCGCCAGCTCAAACCGCACAGTCCAGAGAGCACAGGCTGCTGGTGGGGATACGCGTAGCGTCTAGAATTTCCGAAATCTCCGTGGGAACACGTAAGGGAGACACTTCGCTCCCTGAAGCGTGCTGTTTGTAAAGTGGCCCGTCTGAAGCGAGAAAATGTGAAGTGGCGGATTCCTAGTGGCATCCAACAGGAATCCGACTCGAATCCTAGTGGCGCACTTCCCATTGGGATCCTCTTGACATCAGATAAACCCCAGTGGTGTCCAATCAGATTCCTAGATATGGGGCCCACGGGTGCCTTATTGGAATCCGATATGGGGCGTTTCCTATTGCAACCCGTCGGGACCCTTCCTAATGGAAAGCGATGGGACACCCCATTGGATGGCAATCGAACAACCGCCGTATCGGAATGCTGGGGGAACGCGCAAAGGGTATTGATTGTAGGTTCTTACTCGTCAGAACCATACTGGCGAACACGATGGACATCACATTGGAATCCAATCGGAATCCTTCTTGTTCGACCCATACGGGCATACTACTGGGATCCCACCAGGACCCAACTGTAACTCAACAAGAACCTGCCCTCGTTGGCTCATATGTTGCCCCGATTGGCGGTATCCAAAAGGAGCTAGTGGAACCCAAATTGAAACCAATAGAGCTCATCCCGCTACAGGCTGGTGACAGGCCTGGGCGGTTCAAGTTTGTTTGACATCCACACCCTTAATATACATCTTTTTCTTTAGCCGCATAGCCTCTGCCTGAAAATCCTTGCTCTTCTGGAATAGAGAACAATAGCCGTTCGCCGAAAGAAACGCAGAGGAACACGCGCGCTCCCAAGAGAGCGGGAATGTGGCCAAGAAATCGCTGGTAAAGTTCTCACCGGCGCATGAGGATCCCATGTTTGTTTGCGCCATAGACATGTCTTGTCTTCGCGCCTCATCGTCAAGCAACGACGCAACTGTATGTTTTCGCATGTGCGGAAACATGATCGCCCAGGAAAGCGGAAATGTGGCCAAGATATCATTTGTCTATTTCTAGCCAATAGACGTGAGTTTCACATGGCCCTGTTTCGCGAGAGAAACAATTTTTGTCATCGCGCCTCGTCGTCTGGCTATAGCAAAAACCTTTGTGTTTCCGGAACGGCGGAGGCATGCGTACCCAGGAGGGCAGGCATGTTGCCAAGAAGCCAGTGGTAAAGTTCTAGCCGGTACATGTGGATTTCAAGTTGTGTCTCTGGCCGCACAGACAAATTTCGTGCTCGCGCCGCATGGTTGGCAACAAAACGTACGGTTTCGCATTCGCAGTCGTATGCATACCAAGGGGGACTGACATGCGCAAACGAAATCGAAGATAACACTCTAGCCAATACATGTGGAGTTGAAACTACTGTTTTTGGGAATCATAAGCCATGCTTGTCCTCGCACCTCATCGCCTGACAATCACGAAAAAACGCATGGTTTCGCAATTGCGTGCATACGTGTCCCGGAGGGCGGGGCTGTGGCCAAGAAACCGATGGTAACATTCGACCCACTTCGTGTGGATGCAAATTTGTTGTTTTTGGCGTCACAGGCAATTTTCGTCCTCGCGCTCAATCGTCTGGCAATAACAGAACCGCATGTTTCCACATTCGCGGCAGCATGCGCACCCAGGGGGACCGAAATGTGGCCAAGAAGTCGTTTGTAAAACTCGAGCCAACGCATGTGCATTTCAAAGTGCTGCTCACTGCATCAGAGGCCATGTTTGGCCTCGCGTCCCATCGTCTGGCAATCGCGAAAACGTATGGTTGCGCAATTGCGGAAGCATGCGCACCTAGGGCAGAGAGAGCCCAAGAAATCGTTGGTAATATTCGAGCCAGCACATGCGGATTGCAACATGTTTTTTTTGGGGGGGCTCGCAAGTAATTGTGTACTCGTTTGGCAGAGGCTTCAGAGCGCCCAGGCGCTCGGAAGCCTCTGCCGAGCACTCAGGCGCTCAGACGCATCTTGCAAAACACCCAGGCGCTCAGAAGCCTCTGCAGCGAGCTCAGGCGCCCAGATGCCTCTGCAGAGCGCCCAGGCGCCCAGAAGCTTCAGAAACCCCTGCAGAGCGCGCGCGCGCGCGCTTCTGAAGGCTGGTTGTACATTGGCCGCTCTGGTTGCAAAGAGCCCCGTCTGGGTTGTAAAGTGGTCGTTCTGGTTGTAAAATGGGATGTTCTGGTTGTAAAGCGTTCGTCTTCAAGGAAAGCCAAGGAAGTCGATCCATTGCTGGTTGTACTATCTCGGTTGTAAAAAGGCGTTCGGGTTGAGAAGGGACCAAATCTCGGGGGCAGAGGGTTAGGGGGCGGAGGGGTTAGAGCGTCCAAGATGGCCCAAGATGGCTCCAGGAGAGTCTCAGTGAGCCCACGATGGCCTCAAGGATGGCTCAAGGTACCTCAAGATGGCTCAAGATAGCCTACGGCAAACATCCAAGAGCCGAGACGGCCCCAAGACGGTTTCCAGTGCCCTCCGAGCCCTCCAAAGACCCCCGAAGAGGCCCAAATTGCTCCCAAGCCGAAAAACAATCAATGCGTGTTACCGTTTCGCCTTTTCGCTTCGGGTGGGTTCTTGAGCATTTGCGAAACGCTGCCTAAGAGAGCCCCAACAGGGGCCCAAGAGGGCCCCCCAAAAGGCCCCCAGAGCCCCCCACGACGGTCCCAAGACGCAATGTTTGAGCCTCCGAGGGGGGGGGAAGGGAGGGCTGAATGTGTAAGACACCCCCTCTGTTTGAACACAATGCCAAAAATTGCCCCAAGGGGCCCCCTAGACTCCGTGAAGAGCCCCAAGAGGGCCGCTCGCCCCCCCCCCCCCCCCCCCCCGAAAAAAAGCCAAGCGAGCCCCAAGAGTGCCCCAATGGCTCGGCGAGGAACCCAAGAGAAACCCAAGATAATTCTAAGAGACCTGAGAGAGAAAAACTTCCGAGGCGGCTGTTACGCTGCATGCTTCTACCTTCCTTGGTCAAAGCAACTCGCCTGGCGATCTGTTTCTGGATGGGTTGGTGGGGTCACGCGATGCGTCAAGAATACATCCAGTACGTTTAGGTCGGGCGTGTCCCCCTACAGGCGTATGTTGGACGACAAGTTCTGAATAGACCCAAGCTGTCCTAAAATAGCAAAAGATATCAAACAAATCGTCCCCCGACTATTGTTCTACTATTCTAGAATGTTTTTCCTCCTGCAGAGGGGACAGGCCCGACTGAACAGCACGCGCGCCAACTGCGCAGGACCAGCACGTAGCTGCACCGCTCGGATGCCCCGGGGTCGGGCCCAGAGCCGACGAGGGGCCCGATCCAGCCGATTCAAAGGAATGGGGCACGATCGCCCCAGGGTCAGGTCGAGCGTGCCCCCCATACATGCGGACGTTGGCCGAGAAATTGAGCGTAATCAAACATGGTCAACAAGTAATCGAAGGATCGTCCCCAGACTATGTTCTGACTATTTGGGAGTATTCCTCCTGTGCAGGGACACGCCCGACTTTATTAACCCCAGGGAACTGACGGGGCCAGAAACTAGCGTGCTCACATATGCTTACAAGGAAATTCCACAAGCACCGTGCACACTTAAAAACACCACCAACTTCGGACACAGAGTGACATTGCTCGACAAATCTTGCCTCGCGAACGTCCATCGAGCTAGGTCCCTCTCATGGTGGCGATCTCTGCCAAAACGGTCCTCGCACGCCCTCAGGCACTTCAGACAGGCGCGCCGGGAAACTGCCAAGAGCTTCTTCATCACACTGAGGCAATCCTCATCTACACTATCAATGTCGCTAATTCTGTCCTCTGGTAGGGCCACCCACTCGGCAGCTTCCCCCGCTAAGTAGTCAGCGACACCGTTGGCGACTCATCCTTGGGGGGTCAGGCGGTGGGCGGTAACCAGCTGCCAAGTAGTGATTGTTGCACCAGTTGGCTCCCAGCTTGACAGACCTGCAGTGCGATGGACCCCACGCCTGCTGGTCACAGCATGCACGAGTGATCAATTTCGAAACTCGCTCTGGATAATGCCTTGGTGATGGGAAGGTAATCATAGTGCAACCATCCCCCAACAAAACGCCGATGAGCACGGGCATCACACCGGGAATCACGCCGATGAACACGCAGAGGCGTCTTTCGGGGATGGACAGAACCCCCTTTAGTAAAACGTGGTTTAGTGAAAACGACCTGAGGCCCAAACCTGGCGGGCGCAAGCCTGGAAAATAACGGCCGCGGCGCCCTCTCGAGAACCGAAAACGGACAATTCACTAATCGACGTGTCACTATTGGGGGTTCTGTCCGCCCCCGATACTCGTGAGGTTACAAGAGGGTCCCACTGAGACCCTTCACACACACACACCATGACAGACGTGATGGGCCCTCGAACGCTACGCCAGCGAGCCTGGGGGATCCCGCGAAGTCTTTCAAGAAAACATGGCCAGACAACCTTCACACTGCTAACTTTACTGAGGTCGAAGGCTTTTCAGGGTGCAGCTCCTGGGTCCTCACGCATATCTTACATTCCTCGCAAAATCATAAAAACACGTGTTCCAAGGCTAGGAAAGTAGTCGTGCAGCATCCAACCTGCCACCGACAAGATGATCTGGCTGCTTGTGCTCTCAACTGTCGCATCTGTGCGGGCGGGGTGCCTACTACTTGGTGGCTCCAACATCTAAACGGAACAACTCCTGGCTAGCTTAAAACAACTTCCTCGCATGAGGGCTGGCATGGGCTAGGATCATGAGTTTCTTAGAACGTCGTTCAGCTTTCTCCTTCCTCTGTCTCATCTTCCACATCGTCCTTCTCCTCCTAGCAGTTGTCCCAACAAATCAGATCATTCACCGTATCAGCGAGGCGGAGCGGAACATTCAGCACATCGCAGAGAGCTCGAGAAGGACGGCCGACCTTCTACGACGACGCAGCAGCACGGTAGATCGACGAACACGTGCAACCACGGCTCTAAAGCAGCTCACAACGTTGGACGAGAAGGAGGAGGAGGAGGAGATGGACGAGAAGGCAGGAGGGAGGCCGGTGGAAGCAGCGAGCTTTGGACCCCCGCGCAGCCACAGAACTCCTCCAGGGTCACCGGCGCGCCGCCGCCGGACAGCGGGCTCGCGGGCGAGATGGGCACCGCGAGCGTCCGGCTGAGCTCCTACAGAGGCCTCCCAGAGAGGGTCTCTGCGTGGATGGGACCGGAGCATCGCGCCGCATCGGCGGCGCATCGGCGATGCACGGGTGACGCAAGGGCGACGTCGGCGATGCATCGGCAACGCCCGGATGTAGACAGCGGGGCCCCACCTCGAGCCGCACCGCCCATGCGTCGGCGCCGCGGCGCGAGGCTTCGACCCCGTCCCGCTCCGACCCCATGCTGGGAGGCCTCGCTCAGCGCCCCTCAAACGGGGACTCCACTAACGGGTACTTTGGCCAGTGACCCAGCGAACCCAACCCTTCCCGATGTGGGCAAAGCTGCAGTGCAAGAAAAAAGCCCGAACGTGGCAACTTTCGGCAAACATTCAAAGTACCCGTTAGTAAGTACCCGTTACGGTGCCGTTGACTCGCTCGGGAATCTCCTGACCCGGGTCAACCCAGACCCGGGTCAGCCAGGGCTTGCAGAATCCTGCAAGATCCTGCAAGACCCTGCGCCCAAACCCGGGTCAATGCGAAGGATCCTGCAAGATCCTGCAGGATCCTGCACCCAAACCCGGGTCAATGGGAGCCTGGCCCTGCAGGATCCTGCAAGGTCGGGGCGCTCTGGCTGACCCCCGTTTGCACTGACCCCCGTCTCTTAGGCCCCGACTCGCGCTCCTGGGCCAGGGCCCGGGCCTCCTCGCGCTCCAGCACGCCGTCCCCGTTGGCGTCGTGCCTCCGGAAGAGCTGCCCGCAGAGCTGCCGCAGGAGCACCGGGCTCTGCCGCAGCGCCGAGGCGAAGGCCGGCGTCAGGACCCGGGAGACCCTCGGCTGCACGCAGGGAGCGGCCCCTCGGGCCCTTTGGTCGGGGAGACGTAAGACCTGGGTACGGGGGACTCGGAAATCCCCGACGAGGTCGTCAAAAAAATGACGAGGCCGAGCCTGCATTTTGACGAGGCCTCCCGCTGCAGACATCCCACAAAACTCCTCCTCGTCAAAATCCGAGTCGCGGTCGTCAAAAAACGATGGCGAACCCGAGTCCCGGCAAACCCGGGTCTTACGCTCCCCCGATTTGGGGAAGCGTTGGGGCACCGGGACTACCGGCACTCAAAGCTTCTGCTAAGCCTCGCTGAATGTCTCAGCCCTCTGGCGAGAGCCAGCTCTGAAGCGTGCAGTTCCGTAGCGCAGCGCGGCGCCGCTGTTGGCGGGAGGGAGTTCCTTCACAGAAGATATCAAAATATCCGACTCCCCTCCCGTCTCTGGCCGACTCTGACTGGCCGACTGGCCGACTGGCCGACTCCCCGACTGTTGGGCCGGAAAGCTCTTTCCGGTGCCTCGAAAATGTTCCTTCTCCCCCTGGGCGGGAGTCACTTTTTGTGCGCGGCTCTTCGAGCAGGAGATCGACTACAGAATCCAGTTGGCCCAGCACTGCGTCTTTCTTCCGCAGAAGCTGCAAACAGATGTACAAGGATCGTAGATCTTAGATCTGCGATCAGTCTACACAGTCTCTGTAGAAACGACGTGAAGATCAGTTCTGGGGTAAATCAATTCTGTAGTCGATCTCCGACTCGAGCCCTGCAGAGGGCCGCGGAGGGTCAGACGGGGAAGGCAAATCCAAACAGTTCAAGCGCACCAGACAGCACTGGCGGGATCTCAGGGGCAAAGATCGGGGGGGGCTAGCTCGGAAAGGGGAAACATCGCCCAAGAATCGGCGATGCATCTCATTATAGATCGACGAGAAGCCCTGGACGTTCCTGGGCGGAGTGGGCGATCGGGCCCCTGTAAGCGATTAGTGGGCGATAGGGGGTCGATGCGTTCCCCCCTGAGCCCCCATCCCCCCCCTGATGCTACCCGGAGGATCCCTGTGGCTCCGCACCCCTGGGCAGCTCCGGCGAAGGACCACTCTTGCATGCAGCCGATCTGTGTTGGCATGAAGGACGCGGGTCCTGAGGGAAACGGGTCCTGGACCCCGGGGCCTTCCCCCATCACCAGCTCTTCATTCCGCATAGTTTTCTGATAGTCTGAGGGGCCCGTGGAGGGGCCCGAGAGCTCTAAGACGGCGGAAAAACTCAGGACCCGTTTCCGTCGGGACGGTGGCGACGATGATGAGGATGGTGGTGGTGATGTTGGTGATGATGGGTGCCGATGGCGACGAGGGCGATGATAACGACGATGCTGATTGTGATGACGATCTCTGCTGCTGCTGCTGCTGCTGCTGCTGCTGCTGCTGCTGCGGACCTCGGTGCTGATGACGACTGTGATGATGATGGTGGTGATGATGATGATGATACTGCTGATGATGGTTGTGATGGTCATGATGGTGAGAAGGCACAGGGGGATGGTGATGAAGAGATGATGACCATGGTACTGATAATGATGATGATGATGATGATGATGATGATGATGATGAGGAGGAGGAGGAGGAGGAGGAGGAGGATGGTGATGAAGAGATGATGATCATGATGTTGGTGATGCGGAGGAGGATAAGGAGGAGGAGGAGTAGGAGTAGAAGGAGGAGGACGAGGTCGAGGAGGAGGAGAGGGAGGAGGCCCGCTTCCTTCATGGCGCATGTGCAGGGGCGGGGTCGGTGGGCCCTCCGGCGCCAGCCCGGTGCCGGCCGGCGCCGCGGCCATCGCAGCAGGCCGGCGCCGGGGGCGCGGCCACGCCCGGGCCGCGCCCGGTCGGAGGCGCACCGCAGGCCGCGCGGCCGCTGCCCGGCAGGAGGGCCACGGCTGACGAGTCGGCGGCGAAGCAGTTTTGTCGTCGGCGGCGCGGCAGAGGCAGGCCGCTCCAACGTGTGGCTGGCTAGTCGGGGCAACCGGAAGGCGAAAAGTCCGGCGTGCAAGAGGGAGGAAAAGGACGGAAGATGACCCAAGCATGCTCGCGTCCCAAGAGAAATCGGAACGTGCGGCTTTTAGTCGGGCCCGTGGACCTTTAACGCGGGCCCGTGGACCGTCCAACAACAACAACGGTTAAGGATGAAAAGCCGGTCCCGGGGAAAGAGCCGAGACTTCCAAGGACCCTGTATCGAAAAATCTGGACATCACAGTGATAGAATCATGCAAAAAACGACGCGCGCAGATCCCTACACGGAGGAAATATGGGGAAGGGCAGGGAATTGACCACCATCACTCCCAGCCTCGGGCTCCTCCCTCGTCGTCCCCCTCCCTCCCTCCCTCGGTAGCAAGATCGGATTGGCCAGCGGCCGCGTGGGACGAGCCGGCCCCTGGCCTCCGGGAACGCGGTCGTCCAGGACACGTTGCCAGTCCTCGGGGACGGGCCCAAAAGCACAGGGAGGCACAGGCCGCAGTAAGACGAAGCCAGGGCGAGGACAAATTCGGATGAGCATGAATCGGGAAGCTCTGAGATCCCGCGGCTCTGGAGGATGTATCGGGCGCCGCGGCCTTCTCAGAGCGTTCCGGAACGCTCTGAGAGCGTTCCAGATCGCTGTGGCACGGATTTATCCTCGTCCTAGCCCTGACGGACATAGCGAACTGGAGATCGGCGACGTGCTCGAACCCCCGCTGAAGCACCATGGCCCCCGATCCTCCGCAGGATTGCACGGAGCAGGAACGGGCAAGAGGGACGGGCGAGAGCAGTGGGCGAGGGGTGCGAGGAGTGCGTGGTGAAGAAGAGGGAGGCCTGGCAGGGGCGAGGAGGACGGCGACGCGATACGGAGGAGCGAGAGGAGGAGCCGCGGCAGCAGCCGCGGAGCAGCTGGAGGAGCAACGACAGGGACGGAGCGCGGGACATGTGTGAAGGGGCCCCAGGACACACAAATAAATACACACAAATAAAAATATTCCCCATATTTTCTTATATTTTCTGGGTTTCTGTCTTCCCCCCCACTTCCCATATTTTCCCATATTTTCTGGGGAATCGAGGATTAATTGTGTCTGTGTGTTTTTTCCTCTCCTGAATGCGAGCGGTTCCTCACTCGGCGTCTCGACACTGGGCGGAACGGGGGGAGGGGGGCGAAGAGGGGAGGCCCGGCTCCGGGCCTGTGCTCACCGCGCGACTGCTTGCAGCCGCGCGTCCTGTGGGGGAGGCTCCACCTGCCCGACACAGGCGCCACTAACAGCCAACATCTGCTCCATGGAGGGGGGAGTGGGGGGGGGCGAGGACCCGCGCCGATCGGCAGCAAAATGCCGAGTGAGAGAGCGGGATGGATGCAGGGCGGGACGAGAGAGGGAGGAGGACCCAGACCCCCGACGTCGTGACTTTTTTCACAACGCCGACACCCCCACAGGTCTGGACCCCTTCCCAGGACCGGTCTTCAGCCCGAGCCGTGGATGACGTTCCCGGGGCTTGGGAAGGACCCCCGGAGAGCCAAGATCAGCAAGCAACCTCCCATCGCGATTTCTTCACGACGCGAGGGTGCTTGGGCAGGGAGGGCGCACTCGAAGAAGAAAAAGAAAAAACGACATAAGCATAAACGTTTGGCGCTCCGCGCGGATGTTCTGGATCTGGAGGCGCCGCCGGGCGGCCCCAGCGCGGATCCAAGAAATCCGCGTGGAGCGCCAAACATATATGTTTACAGTGTTTGTTCTGCTTCGAAAGTTCACCGAATCAGCGAACAACCTCCCGTCGTGACTGCTTCACGGCGCGAGGGTGTCTGGGGAGGGAGGATGAATGCATCGCGCGACGAAGGCCGCAGGGACCCCTGGGGGGCTCCAGCGCGCGTGCGCGCGCGCGTCAAAGAGGAGACGCCAGCGTCGCAGGCGCCGGACAAGGCAGGGCGTCCCCATGCCAGCGCAGGCATGCAACGCGCGCGCTGCGGGCGTGGGGCGGCAAAGGCGGCCAGACGTTCAAGAGGCCCCAGGGGGCACGCAGATCAATGCACACATCCCACCCCTCCTCTTCACTAGGCGCGGAGGCGCGATGACAGCCCAGCTTGCCCCGTGCCGCCGACGAACTCGGGCGGCTTGAAGCGCCTTGACCACGGGGGCACCAATTTCAGCCGCGCAGGAGGAGGAGGAGGAGGAGGAGGAGGAGGAGGAGGAGGACGGAGGAGGAGGAGGAGCCGCACGAGGGCCGGGGCGGCCAGCATCTGATCGACAGGCCGGATCAGCTCGGAGCGAGCGGGCGGCGTCCAACTCTGCTGCGCACGCGGCGCGAGAGGCCCGCTCGACGCCCTGCTTCGCAGAGCACCGTGGGTCGAAGATCGGGCCCGTGGCGCCGACACGCATGAGCGGCCTCCACTACAGTATTCGACCTGGCCTAAGGAACTACATAAGGAACGAAGCCCCTTTTTTTCCAAGTAAGTCTTGGAAGCCCGAAGGAACACCAGGAGGCCTCGCCGCCAAAAGGTCGCGGAACGCATGCAAACCAAAGGAACGACCGAGCCCCTTTTGAAAAGGAGGTGTTCCTTACTCAAGCCAGACCATGTATTGCGGTTCGAGGACCTCGGTCATACCACGCCACCCCAGACCAAGACCCACAGCGTAGCTTGCCCATGCCGCTGTCCCACAGGTGTCGGCACCCTGTCTTGGCGCGTGCGAAGTTCAGAGGAGCGACATGGACCACGGCCACCGACCACCCATCGCTGGGGGACCGAACCCTGGGCGGTGGCACGCTTGAGCGTCGAGGAATGAAGTGTCGATCTTCGATCTCCGAAGGATGGAGAGTTCCCCTGAGATCGCTTCTTCAGTTCAATGGGCTGGAAAGGACGGGCCTCCCAGGCCTCCGGATGCGGCCAGGACTCAACTGACCGATGGGTCCCGCCCGCCAGCAGGGCGGGTGAGGGGGAACGTAATCAGGGAGGGACCTGCTCGGGAGCGGAAGGATCGACCTGGAATCGGCGCCACATCGCCGATGGATCTGCGACATGCCCCCCCCTTTCCGATAGCGACTCCAGACCTTGAGAGGCGGGGTGGGCTACCAGGCTCCCCTCGGCGCATGATGTTCCAACCTACTTCAGCCCTGATCACCAGCAACAAGCTCGTGCACCGAGAAAGTCCCGAAACTGGAGACTTCTCACATGGAGACTTACTCGTTTGACACTGTTTCGATACATTTCTGGGTGCTCGAAATTATTTCTGTGACGTGGTCCTTAAGTACGATGGGAAAAGCTGAAGGGGAACTGGGACACACAAACAAATACACACAACTAACATGATCCCCCATATTCTCGAGAACGGGGGATTGTGGAGTACCTCGGGGTCGGGGGCGCGCGCGCGAGGCTTTCGCACTGAGTTCGCGCGTGTGTTTCTCAATGATATGCGTGCTCTGTAGAGGCCTCTTCTCTACTCCCCCATTCGTCCTCTCCTCCCCTCCTCCTCCTCCTCCTCCCCCTCCTCCCCCCCCTCCTTCTTCTCCCCCTCCCCCTCAAAGGAAAGCAATGACGGTTTTTCGTTTTTGGGTGTGCCCCCCCCCCCCCCCCCCCCCCCCCCCAAAAAAAAAAAAAAAAAAAAAAAAAAAAAACGGGGACCCCCCCCCCGCCCGTTTTTTTTTTTTTTTTTTTTTTTTTTTTTTTTTTTTTGGGGGGGGGGGGACGAAAAATCCTCCTCCCCCTCCTCCTCCTCCTCTCTCCTCCTCCTCCTCCCCCCCCCCCAAAAAAAAAAAAAAAAAAAAAAAAAACGGGGACCCCCCCCCGCCCGTTTTTTTTTTTTTTTTTTTTTTTTTGAGGGGGGGGGGACGAAAATCCTCCTCCCCCTCCTCCTCCTCCTCCTCCTCCTCCTCCTCCCCCTCCCTCTCCCGTTCTCGAGAGCGGGGGATTGTGGAGCCCCTGTGGTTCCAAAGCGCGCTCGCGAGGCTGTCGCGCTGAGTTCGCGACTGTTTCTGTGCAGACTTGGTTATGTGTCGTCCTCCTCCTCCTCCCCCTCCGCCTCCTCCTCCTCATCCTTATTCCTCCTCCTCCTCCTCCCTCTCCCCCTCCTCCTACCTCTCTGCTTTTTTTTTTTATTCTGGCGCCCTCCCCCCAATTTTTTTTGGATGGGGGGGGGCGCCAGGAGAAAAAAACAGGAATGCGACGTGGCCACATCTGCCCTCCCCCCTAGAAGGATTCCTATTGAACGCCCCCATAAGAAGGATTCGCAGTGAAATCCTCGACAGAAGGGTTCCTATCCAAACCCTCCACTGAATGAGTCCTACTGAAATCCTCCATGTGGATTCCTATTGAAACCCTCACTGAATGATTCCTACTGAAATCCTCGAATGGCAATGGCAATGGCGATGGTAATGGTAATGACAGTGGTAATGGTACTGACAATGGTTACGGTGATGGTAGTGGTAGCGGGGTAGCGAGGCAATGACAATGGCAACGGTAATGGTAATGGTAATGGCGATGGCAATGGCAATGGCAATGGCAATGGCAATGGTAATGGCCATGGCAATGGAGATGGTAATTGAGAGGGTAAAGGTAAAGGTAGAGGTACAAGGTACTGGCAATGGCAATGGCAGTGGCAATGGTACTGCTAATGGTAATGGGAATGGGAATGGGAGTGGGAATGGGAACGGGAACGGCAATGGAAATGCTAGTGGTAGCGGTAATGGCGATAGCATTGGTAATGGTAATGGTAACGGAAATGGTAATGGCATTGGGAATGGGAATGGGAATGGGAAGGGGAATTCGAATGGTAATGGCAGCGGTAATGGTAATGGTAATGGTAAGTGTAATGGTAATGGGAATGGGAACGGGAATGGAAATTGTGTTGACAATGGTAATGGTAGTGGCGAATGGCAATGGCAAAGGTAATGGTAATGGTAATGGTAATGGTAATGGTAATGGTAATGGTAATGGTAATGGTAATGGTAATGACAGAGGGAATGGTACTGGCAATG